TTCGACCAGCTCAAGCAGTCGCTCGATTTTCTGCAAAAAGAAGTTGCGCGATTGACCGAAGTCAACGATGGCCTCAACAGCGCCAACGCGCAATTGGCGTCTCAGCACAACGAGACGTCGCGCGCTCTCGAGACGTCTAGGACCGCCTACGACAACTACGGCGACTCGCTGCACCAGAAAGATGCCGAGATTGAGCGCCTGCGCGCCGAGCTCGAGGCCGCCAAGGAGCAGGTCCGCGAGATGCAGCGTCAGATCCTCGCCACCAAGGGCGCCACTGGTGGTGACTTTCTGCGCATCCAAGACGTCGACCACTTCGACCATCGCTGTCAGCAGCTCTGCTCCCACGCCCAGCAGTGGGTGCTTCGCTTCTCCAAGTTTTCCGACATGCGCGCCTGCCGCCTGACCAACGAGATCAATGACGAAAAGGTCATTGACCGCCTCGACAATGCCGTCCTCGACGGCTCCGACGTCGACCGCTACCTCGCCGACCGCGTCAAGCGTCGCGACATCTTCATGTCCATGACCATGAACATGATCTGGGAGTTTGTCTTTACCCGCTACCTCTTCGGCATGGACCGCGAGCAGCGTCAAAAGCTCAAGTCGCTCGAGAAGCTCCTCACCGACGTCGGCCCACCCCAGGCCGTCCGCCAGTGGCGCGCCGTCACCCTGACGCTCCTCGCCCGCCGCGCCAGCTTCAAGGAGCAGCGCGACCTCGACACCGAGGCCGTCGTCCAGGCCATCATCCACACCCTCTCCACCGTCCTGCCCCCACCCTCCAACATGGAGGCCCAGATCCAGTCCCAGCTGCGCCGCGTCATGCGCGAGGCCGTCGATCTCTCCATCGAGATGCGCACCCAGCGCGCCGAGTACATGATGCTGCCCCCGCTGCAGCCCACCTACGACGAAAATGGCGAGCTCGCCGAGACGGTCACCTTTAACGCCTCTCTTATGAACGAACGCAGCGGCGATGGCTCCGTCTCCAACGAGGACCTCGAGTCCCAATCCGCTGTCGTGCGCGTCGTTCTGTTCCCCCTCGTCGTCAAGAAGGGCGACGACACGGGCGACGGCGACGAGGAGATTGTCGTCTGCCCCGCCCAGGTTCTTGTCGCCCGCAACCACGACAAGCGCCGCTCCCTCTCGGGCAACGCCGGCCGTCTGCTGACGCCCTCAAGCGACGCCGGCGGTGCCGCCCTGTCCTACACAAACCGCAGCGACATCAGCATGCGCACCGATGGCACCTACAACCCACAGCAGGCTCGCACCCCCGAGGCCGAGTACTTTGCCGGCGGCATCTGATTGATGCATTGAGCGAGATGAGGGGTGGCGCCCCTCACAAACAACAAACAAAAAGGAGAGACGGGAAGAAGATTGTTGAGATGACGATGATTTCTGTATTATGATATCCCCGTATCTTTTGGATGAAGGCCATTTTGATGCATTTCCTTCAGTACTTCATTTTGGAGTCTTGTTTTTTTTTTCTTTTACCAGGGCATGCCTGCCTGGCTACACTATTCTGTTTTCCTTTCTCTTCTCATTTTGAGTGGTGTGTTATCGCTTGGGTTTGGTTTCTTGCTTGGAAGTCATTGGAAGTTGTATCATTGCCGACAAAGATGCGCATGATAGATTCGCGCCTAATGAATCATGACCTGTTCACTCTGGCTGTCTGTCCAGAACTGTTATTTCAGTGATGTGAATCAGTGATGCAAATTTAGGCATGTGAATCGACCACTCGGCGAAGCACGAACAGACTCAACGGGTACCGTCTATATTCTACCTGTGTGTTCCGGCACGGGTATATGGTCCTAACATCAACGTACAAATCTTTGGCATCCCCCAACTAAGGCCCCCCCAGAGCGGCATTCCTCCGCCTCCACATCTCCAGCACGCGCCCCGTCTTCTCCGCCTGCTCGGCCCCGAGCCTGTGCTGCGTCAGGTCGAGCGCCCAGTTGAGCCTCGCCGTGCGCCCGGGCTCGCCCCTCTGGAGGTCCCGCACCGCGACGCGGACGACGGCCTCGAGCCCCGCCGCCGGCAGCGCCAGGCCCTGCGCCGCGAGCCAGGCGTTGCAGCGCGAGACGTGTCGCAGCGCCGCGCGGTCCGAGAGGTGCGGCGCGCGCGAGAACCAGACGGCCATGTCGGCGACGAGCTTCTGCTTTGTGCGGAGGCGGAGCTCGGCTGAGCGCGTCGAGCGCATCACGTTGGTGCTGCTGTTACTGTTTTGTGCGTGCTGGTGATGATGGCGGCGCGCGCGCTCGGCGGGCGATTCCAGGTGGAGGACTTCCCAGACGAGGTTGGGGTCCACGTCCGCGTCGAGAATCATGGATTTGATGTACGGGTGCCAGTCGTTCCAGGACCAGGTGCGGGAGGCCACCGGCCTGTTGGTGCCGCGGTGGCGTTTCATGAGCTCGTACATTCTTGTTACTATCCTGTGGTCTTTGCTGGCGAGGGCGATGGCTCTGAAGCCCGCTTCGCTGAGGCTGCTGCTGCTGCTGCTGCCCTGGCGCGTGTGGCAGTACTTTTGAAAGGAGGCGAGAAAGCCGTCAACCATGTCTAGGCGGCGCAGCGCACGGAAGAGGCTCATGAGAAGGCCAATGCGGTGACTGCCGCCGTCGCCGGGGTGTTCGAGGGTGCTGATGTGCCAGGCGAGGGAGCTCATGCTCAGTGCCTGGTCGGTGCTGGCTTCGCGCTTCCATGCGCTCCGCACCTGTCGCGCGTTGCGCAGGTAGCCGCGGCTTTGCCACTGCTGGAGGAGGAGTTTGCTGAGGTCATGCGCGGGTGCTGTTGAGGATGCTTGGCCAAAGAGAGAGGAGCGAGAGCATGCTTCGAGGAGGAAGGTCGTGTCGACCTGGGGCATCCTGGCGAGAATGTCAAGCCACCGCAGGCGACGGCCATGACCGATGTGTGACCCTTCGTGACGCATGACGACAGATTCCATGCCGGCGAGCAGTGCGGTGTGTTCTTGGGGCGATAGTCTGGCTAGGGCGTTTGCCATGATTTGTGCCGAGGCTTCGTATGCCCGCGCAGGAGCGGCGAGCCATGTCTGCAGCGCCGCGTACAGGCCTTGCCCCAGGCGATGCATGTGCTGATCCGTCACCACGGTAAGGATGGTGCAAATCAGTTCGGCACTGGTCCGGCTGGCTGGCAGCTCAGAAACCCGACAAAGTAGTGTGTTGCAGAGGTGAGGGCCGGCCTGGGCGAGACCCTGAACTCTCGAGTACGCCATGCCTTTGATGACAGCCGAGAGCAATGCAGTGGTGGCAGAATGCACGACCTGCGGGTCTTGCCGGGCGGCTACGATGGCAGCCGTGAAAGAAGAAAGGGCTTTTGGGATGGCTTCCAAGGTGAGCAGGCCCAGGTAGATGTCATGCTGGAGGCGGTCCATTGCGAGATGGAAATCGGGATCAAGCTTGGCCAATGATTTCAGCAGCGCCCCACGCGTCTCCTCGAGCCTCTCGGAAAAGTCATCAGAAGGCTGCAGCACATGCTCGTACTCTTGTCTCGGGTAGTCAACGGCCTCCTCGGCGGGGAGCAGCTGATCCATCCACGTGAGCAGAGACCACGACTTGGGTGGCGGCGACTCCTCCATTCGCAGCCGAGAAGCAGGCTCTGTAGGCGGGGACCACTTCCACTGCGTCAGGTCGGCAGGAAACTCGATGAGCCATGGCGGTAGCGTGGGCTGGAAGTCTGCCGAGTAGAGCCCTGTGATCCTCCTCTTGCCGAGTCTCTTGCGGTTCTCCAAGGGCCCGGGCACAGAGCTCGAGTTGCGACGCGAGAGCCTAGAAGCGTGGCAGTATCGCTCAAAGGCACTGGCGAGGACGCTGTCGGTGATCCAGACATTGTCGAGGGGGGCGCGGAGGTGTTTTACGGCTCGGCAGCATCGCGCTGTCGGTCGGGTCGGCATTGGAGCCGCTGTGTGGGGGACGTTTCGGTTGCTTGAGATGTCATGTGTCTTTACGGCGTTTCCATGTCCAATTGGGTGTTTGGTCAGTCGACGAGAAGGCAATGGCGTCGATGGATATGGATGGGTGATTGATGGTGTGCATGTATGGTATGGCAGAGCTGGATTTCTGTAGAGTCGGAGACGAGGCTGACACGACAAACACGACAAATTGGAGCTCTGGGATTGGCATGGTCAAGCCACAGAGCCCACATGTTCTTGCTCTGCTGGTTGCCGATGCACCAGCCACGTGTGAGCAGCAGAGCTGTGGCTTGCGTCTGTCGACCAGCCGAGCTGCGTCGGCCCCGCGGCGTTGAGTTTGGCGGGGAACAAAGAATGGACGAGACGGTCAGCCTGGCCATCCACTCAGTCATGCTCAGCTCAGCGGACAATGCCGACAGGTCGGCAGGTCGTGATGGCGGGGCACTCTTGAAGACTTATGCTTTTCTGAATCTCCCCCTCCTGCCCGCCATCTGTCCTACACCAACACCTCCCCGCTCACCGTCACCGACAAGATGGCCCACGACTTTCCCCCTCTGAAGAACGACCTGCTGCTGCGGGCAGCACGCGGTATGTGCGAGGCCGCCCCAATGCGAATCGCATTGCATGTGAAGCCGCGATCCGCCCACTAACACGAACGAACAGGTGAGGTCGTTGAGCGACCCCCCTGCTGGATCATGCGACAAGGTGAGCTCTCTCCAATCTTTTGCCCAAGATCTTTTGCCCAAGATCTGGTGCCCGAGGAAAGCAATGCACCTCTTCCCTCATGCTGACCGAATTGACTCGCCAGCCGGCCGCTATCTCCCCGAGTACCACGAAGCAAAGGGCACCAATGACTTCTTCGCGTGCTGTCGCTCCCCCGAGATCGCCTCGACCCTGACGCTCCAGCCGATCGACCGCTTCGACGGCCTCCTCGACGCCGCCATCATCTTCAGCGACATCCTCGTCATCCCGCAGGCGCTCGGCATGACGGTCGAGATGGTCGACAAGAAGGGCCCGCACTTCCCCAGCCCCCTCACGGGGCCCGAGGACCCCCAGTACGCCTCGGTCATGGCCGTCGACCTGCCGACGGCGGCGGCCGAGCTTGACTACGTCTACAAGGCCATCACGATGACGCGCCACAAGCTCGCCGGCCGCGTGCCCCTCATCGGCTTCTGCGGCGCCCCCTGGACGCTGCTCTGCTACATGGTCGAGGGCGGCGGCACCAAGCTCTTCATCCAGTCCAAGAAGTGGGTGTACCGCCACGCCGACGCCGCGCGCGCCCTGCTGCAGAAAATCGCCGACCTATGCGTCGAGTACCTGGCCCTGCAGGTCCAGGCCGGCGCCCAGGCCGTCATGGTCTTCGACAGCTGGGCCGGCGAGCTCGGCCCCCGCGAGTTCGCCCGCTTCAGCGAGCCCTACCTCGCCCACATTGCCGCCCGCCTGCCCGCCAAGCTGCGCAGCCTCGGCCTCGACCCCGTCCCCATGACCGTCTTCCCCAAGGGCGCCTGGCACGCCCTCGGCCGCGCCTGCGACCTCGGCTACGACGCCGTCGGCATCGACTGGATGCAGGACCCCGCCGACGCCGTCCGCATCCGCGGCGACCGCCGTGTCGCCCTGCAGGGCAACGCCGACCCCGGCGTGCTGTACGGCACCAAGGAGGAGATGACGCGCGCCGCCCAGGTCATGGTCGACGGCTTCTGGAAGGAGAAGAAGGGCTGGATCTGCAACCTCGGACACGGTACGCTCCCCCTCGTATTCTCCCACACATGAACCAGGCTTTGTGTTTTGTTTTGGACATGGCGCGAGACCCCCTTGCTGACAGACGTACAGGCATCACACCCGGCGTCAACCCGGATGATCTCAAGTTCTTCCTCTCCGAAGTCCACCGCTTGACGCAGCAGTAGATGTGGGAAGAGGGGGGGGAAAGAGGGGGTAGGACCAAAAATCAGTCATTAGAGGGACCAGGGCACAGCGACAAAGCAGATCGTTCTGAGGAATAGCAGGGTATGACCAAAATACATAAAGGCAGACACACATCGCGGCGCATGAAAACTAAGGGTATTCTCGTCTTATCATAGACTTGGCGTCCTCGGGAATAAAGAAAAAAAAAGGAGGCACAATCGCAACTCCATAACCAATAGGGACAAGCCTGCGGACATGACATGTTCAATTGTCACGATCACGTTTGTGAGAAGGAACGCACAATAATGAAGTAATGGTTTCAATTCGAGTCATGTTAATTCATTTCCCCTCTCCGTCCCGAGACCAGGGCGAGGTTTGCTATAAAAATAAAACAGTGGTATCTGAACTTTTGTGTGTTTTCGTGGATCCGACGCGGGGAATGACCCATCATTCGTCATTAGAGTCCCCAATCCAACCCTCCGAAACTCCAGCGCAGAGACAGTAAAAATATTGGGAAAAAAATGTCGTGATGATAATGATAACAAGTAGCAGAGGGGGTATCTCCGCGATTCGATGAGAGAACCGGACCACAAAAGGTGTCCAATTGATGAATGCTGCGCCGATTTTTGTTGTTGAATATGTAATCATGTTGGAGATGCCAATGAGCCAGTCGAGAGACGACAGCCGCTGAGCAGTGATGAGATGGACAGGCCAAAAAAAGACAAAAGTCGAGAAGCTGATCATAATGCAATCAATCAACAACGACCAAGCTTATGCCTTCTTGCCAGTGATGCTGTTGAGCCACGCCTTGCCCTTGGCAGCGAGCTCGGCAGACGAGCGCCTGCGCTTGTGGCTCGAGGAATCATCGTCATCGATGGCGTTCTCGATGGCAGCGGCCTTCTGGACGGCGGCGTTGTCCTCCTTGAAGATGTTGGCGGCACCGCCACGGCCGTAGTGGGCAGCACCAGAAGAGGTGCGGCGGGGGGCACCCTCGACGTCCTGGCGCAGGCGAGTCTCGTAGGGGTCGTCGTTCTTGAGCATGTTGCCAGTGCCACCACGGCCAGTGGTGACGACAGAGGACTTGAGAGTAGGGGTCTGGAGGTCCTTGGTGGTGAGCTTGTCAAACTTGGAGCTGTTGGCAATGTTGCCAGCGCCGCCGCGACCGTGAGAGACGAGCATGTTGTTTGAGGTTTGGTGATTGTGAGTGTTGTGTTGCGGGTTGGGGTTGTACAGTGTGCGCAACGATGTTGAGCTTCACAAGGAGTGGTGCTTGATTTGGCGGGGTAATCGAAGAGGTAGGGTTCGAATGTTTACTGTTTATGAGCTTGATGGGCCAGAGCAAGTTGTCGGAGGGGAACAAAGGGACAAGTGGTTATATACCAGGACGAAGCTCTGGGTACCTCGCCTCGTGGTCAGACAACGGTCTGGGCACGTACCTTGGAGAGTTCTGCCAGGCGCTTGAGCTTGCCCCTCACCTTCCCCCGGATACATCGCGACCAAGCTTTTGGATGGTCACAAGGACACCGAAAGTTTTTTTTTTTTCATTCCCTTTCGCCCTTGGCTTTCCCCCCTCGCACATACCCTGGGACCCTCTGACTGTTCTGATTTCAGCATAGCCTGCAGTCGAGTCTCCACCGATGGCATCAACGGGGTCAGAAGTGTGCAAAGACCAAGGCGCTGGGACTCAAAACGGAAACCATTGCCTAAGACAAACGTAATGAAAACAATGCTAGCCAGCCGTCGGGGCCACACGCGCACCCTCGAGACGCTCGCGCCATCGCCCTACCCGGCCCCGTCATGGCTGCCATGATGGCTTGCCGTGGTGCTTCGTCGCCCATGGATGGGTCGTGGCTCCCCTCAGGCTCCTTGATTGGGGGGAGCTTTGCACCCGTATGGTCCAGCGTCACTTGATCGCGTTCTCAGACAAAAGGTGCATCGCCTCATTGTTTCTGTTGTGTGTTGTCTCGTCCCGAGTTGGCGAATGTACCTGAAATTGACCAGAAGGTATGAGCTTGGCACCGCACAATCGGCAACGCCTACACTGCGCCCGGCTATGACGAGCCTGGCCAAGCCCATGATGTAAATCAAGCTGTGCTCGCTTTCTTGCTGCCGTCTTGGCCACCCCGGGAATAATCCTGCACCTTTGCGGTCACCTGCTGTGTGTTGCGTGCTGAATTGAGTGCTTGTGTGACTCTTGGCACCGCTGCGTCGCCCCGTCGCTAGGCGCTTCGCATCACAGCTGCTCGCCTTCCCCACCGCCAAATGAGGGAACAGGGAGAAAAATTCAACCTGCCCATTCCCTTTGAGGCTGGGCCAGAAAAACCGTCAGACTAGACCGAGCGAGCAATGCCAGCCGTTTGCGTGACAACGTGACCATGTGTCGGCCGGCTCCTGACGAGGGCCCAGATTAAGCTTAGATGCGGACGCTGCGAAACAGTTCAGGTGGTCTTGGAAAAGCTCTGGTGACCTCTCCTGGCGATCGTGCATTCCGCCGTGGTGTTCCAACGGCAGCGCATTACCGATGACTCTCAGCTCAGGGGTAGAGACGACGTGTCCCTCGCGAATCCCATCCCCATTGAACGCATGTCCTTGTGACGCGCCATTGCGCCGCGGCACTGCCCAGTTGTGTGAGACCGCCTGGTGGCGCAACCATGGAGCACGTCTCTCTGCCATGCTGCGTCGACCTTGGAGATGAACAACACGCCAGCAGCACGCCATTCGCCTGGCTCCTTGTGTTGAAATGAGTGTCTGGCAGTTGTTGTGCGGTGATAGGTAGCCCTGGTGTGTTTGCCGGTCTGGTGGTGGTCCCGGCCCGGCGTGTTCCCACAGCGTCCTGACACTAAAAATTGACGAGACCTGCACCCCGGATTTTTGATCCTGGGCGGCTTCGACAGTCGCAGGGAAGAAAAGTCTAGCGCGTCTGGGTCGCCAAGAGAACTGTTGATCTCCCTTCGATCCTTGTGACCAGCTGAGTCCTGCCGCCTGATCAGGCGGCCCCACAATAGCGCAAAATTTGCCTGTGTTGTGAAGTGGCAATGCCTGGCGGCAGATGCTTTGCTGTTCGAGCACTGATGAATCAAGTCACGAGAGCTGCTCTGCAGGATACTCAATAGTTAGTAGCCGAGGACAGTTGAGGCGGCTGCAGTGCGCCGAATGGTTTCTGGAAGGACGCCTGGTCTGCTGAGGTCTGAACGAGTAACGACCGACCAGAAGAAGACACGATAGACTGCATCTGTTCCAAAAGCCCTTGAGCTTGTGTACTGGACAAAGACGTCTTCTGGTGAGCACCCCGCAAATGGGGACGTCACAAGGTCGAAAACTCTGACCTTGGGCTCGTGGCTTGGCAGTGGAGGACTGCCAAGACTGTTTGCAGTGGCCTCTCGGCCATTCTCCCTGTCCAGGAACAAGCTTCGCTAAATCCGGTGCCCACTTTAAGATCAATGGCCTAGTGGAGATGACCTAGTTTTCCTCAACGCTGTTGACGTGTCTCGGCCGTTCGATCTGCCGAGAAGGAACGATTCCAGTGCACACAAAACGAAGGGGGTGAAGAAAAGAAGAAAAGTAGAATGAAGAGGTGACTCAAGAGAGTTGATGCCAAGACGCTGGTTGCCCTCGTAGGAACGGGACGGAGATTCGCATATACAGAAGACTGCAAAATTGCCCGAGGTGGTGACCGAATCGTCCCCTTTTCATCTAGGCAGCGCTTCGTTCTGAACTACATTTGGTTGGCGGGTGTCAAACGACCAACATCCCCGTTGGGTGTCCATGCGATCACTATTGGAAACGATGAGAGTCGGTGCCTTAGGATGAAGCAAGCTACAGCAGCGTCTCCAGAGAAAGGCTAGCAAATAGTGAATAGAAGGAGAATGCAAGGCAACACGGGCCGGGTCCCGTGGCTGGACCACGTTCCGCTATATGTTGGGCTGGGAGAGAGCTGCGAGAAAGTGGAAGAGTCCTTGTCAAAGAGAATTGCGAAACCCTTGGCATCATGGACATTCTTTGTACTTGAGCAGCATCGGCACACATACTGCAGGTCGTCTTTAAAAGCTCCGAGATCGATTTTGACGGAGCCCTGGCGATGATCAGAATGGTGGTCTCAGTGTAGGGCTTGTAGGGGTCCGAATTGGGCCGTCGATCACCGAAGGAGAGGAGTCTTCCCAAGGGTCGCCTCAAGGTCAGCTTGCGCTGCATAGTAAGCAGGCATGTGTAGGTTTGGGCCTGCAAGTACCTCAATACGATGCGCGCCTTATCCAACTGGCGTGTAAGGTGGTAGACCGACCCTTACCAATACTTCAGCGAGAGCCGAGCAAAGCTGGTTCCAGCGGAAGGAGTCGTTAATGCGAAGGAGACGGGAAGCCCGAATGATCTCATCAAATGTGAGGTGACACGCATGTGGTGGGAATGCCCCGGCGCATGGCATCAGGCTGGTGGCCAAAATAGGGTGGTTGAGACGCTGTTCGGAGCATAGCAGGGGGGACCAGGAGCAATCAGAAGCCTTCCAGTGGCCTCAACAGGAAGGCTGCATGAGCCACGGCTTTGCGCCAGCCATCCCATTTGACGATCGTCTGGCCGGCTGTGGCGAGCCCTGGCACCCGAGCTGTACTGACAGCTGTCTGACTGTGTGTAGTGGTAGTCCTGGCCAGGGAAGGCGTCCAATAAAGGAGCATGCTTGCCATCTTGCTACACCCGACCCGGCCGAGTGGCCGAGTGCATGATTGTCCCTCTCTGGTCTCTGGGGGGGCTTGGGGGGGTGAGGAGTCGGGCACTTTATGCCGGATGGGAAGGCTTTTGTCTCAAGTGAGTCGATTCCGTCGTCATGATGGCTGGGCGATGGGCTGCGTGAAGTGGCCGACGCCGAGGATGGTTGGGTCTGGCTCGCTGTCGCAGATCGGCGGCCAACCTTTCAGGTGCACCAAATGACACGCCACCCGTCTTGCGTCCGCTCGGCAACTTGACAGAGGAAGAGCCGGGCCCAGCGACCAGGAACAAAATACTCCGATCGGATGCATGGTGGACGGACGGCGAGGTGCCATGGTGCCATGGTGCCATGTTGTAAGAGGGTCAGAGGCATGTGTCTGATGGCGAGAGCTGTGGGGGGTTGCACGGCTTGCAAAGCTTGCAAGGCTTGCAAAGCTCTGTGAGAGCTTGGTCGCAAGGTGGCCAGGTCTTGTCCGACACAAGTGACCATTCTGGCTGTCGAGGCGAGTGCTTGAGACCCGATGCGGACAAGATGGGCGAATAAGCTTTGACGCCATGGACCATGGTCGCGGTAGATGACAGAAGGGTTATGAGACAGACTCTATGAGACACCAACAGGGAATGCCATGGCCATGGTGTGGGAAGCGAGCGCCTCCTCGTCCCTGATGTGGGATCGCTCAGGGAAGAGGGTGTGTCAGATTTGGGGAGAGCGGTTTGCCAGCACACAGCAAGGCTGTCATGGAAGCATCAAAGCAGAGCATGCGTCGAGTACGTGTGGAAGAGAAAGAGAAAGTTGGCGATGTGTCGCTTGGGTCGTTTTGCGATAAGGGCATTAACAAGGCAGGGCAGGTGCCATCGGACGGCCCTGGCTCCCAAACCGTCTTGTTCAGTCGATGAGATGAAGCCGGGCGGGAAGGCAAGACCGCGTCGGGGATCGCGGCGCGGGACCTCACTGATCGGATGGCTGGGGAACAGGGGGGGAAGGGGGGGGGCAAGGGCAGACGGGTGGTCAGGGCCCTGTAAGGTCCTTTTAGGCCTGTAAACCGCAATGGAGGGTCGCTGGGTGTGCTGGCCAGGGGGGGCACTCGAGGCGCTACCCTGGCGCTCTCAGCCGGCACTGTGCCATTTTGCAGTGGAGAGACCCCTCTCTGGAGCTCTGGTGTAATGCGCGACGGGAGGTTGATCGCCCGCTGTGGCCGCTATGACCCGCGCTCGCCATGATAATTGGGTGAGAGGGCCGTCCCCCCACAGAGGCTACGGGCAGCGCCCGTCATCCACCCCAACCAACCTTCAATGTTCCGCCTTCCATCTAGTTGTTAGTCCAGCTCCTCCATCTTTGAGACAGCTGTGCCCAATGCCCATCAGTGTCTGCATCGGCGTCGGCACCTGCACCTGCACCTGGACCTGCACTTGCACCACCCTACCTACCTACCTACCTAACCTAAACCGCATGCCTTTTTGTTCTCTTGCTGAACTGGCGCTTCCACAAGGCTTCACCTTCTCCATCGCCAGGCGCCCCCCCTCGCCCTTCGTCTGATGCCCTTGCGCATCACAACCCCGCCTCCCTCTTCGAGTCCCCCGCAGCCTGTCGGGCCAGTCGGCTAGCCATCACGACGTCGGAAATTCACGGCGCATCGATCGAATCAGGCTGAGCCTCAACGTTCAACCTCTCGAATGACCAACTCCATACCATTCGCCCTTGGATGAGCCTGCTGAAGAAGCAAGAGTCGGCCAAAGTAGAATCCTGCGTCCCCGTCATCAGGCCGACCGACAGGCGAGCCGCCGGAAGCCCTCTCGATCACTTGGGCTTTCGTGACGCTCTCGCACTATTGCCTCCCCAACCATCTCGATAGCGAGCCAACACGAAACCCACCGCCATCATGAGCTACGACCAGCACCAACACATGCAGTCGCATCCTCACCAGCAGCAGCATCCGCAGAACATGGCTCCGAGCTACCACCACTATCCACCTGTGCCCTCCCACCATGGACCTCCCCAGCATGTCCCGCACGCTCAGCAACAGCATCAATATCCGCCCCCGCAGCAACATCATCAGCAGCAGTACCAGCACCCCGGCCACCCCTCCGCTCACCCTCAGAACACTCTGCCCCCGATGCCTCAATACTCGACGCACCAAATGCCTCCTCAGATGCAACCGCAGCTCCCCTCGCAGATGCCTCCGCCCGAGATGCCCGGCGGCGCTCCACCCCACCAGGCTCAACTCGTTCCTGAGCCCACGCGCAGTATCGAGCCTGTGTCCAGGAAAGATGAGGGTGGTCGAACATACAAGTACGTTTTGCACAGTCAGATGCCCGAGATCTCCCAATAGTGCTGACTCCCAATACCGTAGGCTCGACGTTGTCCAACAGCCCAAGCGAGCGCGCATGTGCGGCTTTGGTGACAAAGACAGGCGGCCCATTACCCCGCCGCCTTGCGTGCGCTTGATCATCATCGACCCGGATACGGGCAAGGAGATGGACTGCAAGTGCGTAAACGAGATGGAGCCGTCCAGACCTGTGCGCCCGCATGCTGACACGGCTTCCCGCAGTGAAATCGACCACTCCATGTATGTTCTCAACGTGGATTTGTGGTCCGAGGACGGCCAGCGCGAGGTGAACCTCGTCCGCCACACCAACAGCGCGCCCTCTATATCCTCGACGACACCATGCTCCTACACAAACTTGACCGAAAACGCCACCGCTTTTCAGCACATTCTGCCATCCAGCACATCTCATCGCGAACCTCCGCAGTTCCATAGCCCGAACAATATGGGCTATGCGCCGCCAAACGCATCTCCTTATCCCGGAGCTTATGGTATGCCCTCGAACTACCCTCCGTCTTGTAGGTGCTCTCTGGCTGGTGCGGACACAATACCACGACTGACGATATCCCAGCTCAATATCCTCTGTCAAATGGGTACGGCCCCGCCCCGCCATATGGCTATTCAAATGGCGGAATACCCGAGTATGGCCGTACAGAATATGGCCAGAACCAGTTCCAGGCACGCAACTCCATCGGTGGCGCAGGTGCGCCTCAGGGGATGTACACGCGCAACCTCATCGGCAGTCTTGCTGCAAGCGCCTTCAGACTGTCTGATGTAGCAGAACACATTGGCATCTGGTTTATTCTCCAGGATCTCAGTGTCCGAACCGAAGGCAGCTTCCGGTACGTGCATCGAATTCGAGACTCCATCACAGACGAGACTAACGTGACATTGCAGCCTGCGGTTCTCTTTCGTGAACGTTGGACCGCCCACCCGCGCGCCGAGCACGAACCCCTCTAACCCAGGAGCCGTCACCAGGTCCGGCAAGGCACCGATCCTGGCGTGTTGCTACAGCGAGCCTTTTACGGTCTTTTCGGCCAAGAAGTTCCCAGGTGTTTGCGAAAGCACGAGCCTCAGCAAGTGCTTTGCCTCTCAGGGCATCAAGATTCCGATCAGAAAGGAAGGCCAGGACAACAAGCGGGGCAAGGATGACGACGATGACGATTATTAGATGAGGCGCTGGTCATTCAACTGCCCATGTTCTGGTGGTCCTTCATCACGAAGGGGAAGGGGGTGGGTGGCACGACACTCTTGGACTCTCGAGGTGTCAGATGAGAAGTTTGGATGATGGCAAACTTCCCACATGTGGCGAGGGAGGTAGAAAAGGTGGACAAAAGGGGCCACAGTGATTCTGCGAGCCCAGGCATGTCTCGTGTGCTTGGTGTACTTGATTTTTATTTCTGCAGGTGTTCAACAGATACCAGGTCTTGATTGTCTCGCGAAAACCGCTCTCAGACGTGACGAAGTAACCCTTGTTCCGGACCGGACGGAGCCCCGTGTTGAAACATGCCAGCTTCTCGTGTGCCTCCCCCTCCCCCCGCAACGGGCCTAACTTGGTTCCCGTGTCTCAGCCATCTCCGTACCAAGCCAGCCCGATGGATCTAGCGTGGCCTTGTTTGTGATACAATAGCTAGGTTGCTATGTCCTGCTGCAGCTGGAGAACGGCCGGAAACCCACCGAGGGCCGCCCGCGACATCGGGAGATGGAAGCCCGGCCGGAATCGGGCCCGCAATGCGAATCCATGGCGTCACGATGTTAAGCTTTGAGCCATCAAGGCCCTGCGGGTGCCATATCGGAGAAGACGTCACTGTCCGCTTTGCAGCGGTGCTTAAACTCCTGTGCTGTCCCGTCCGTCTTCTTTTAGGCTGGCACCTTTTTCTTCCTACAAATCAGCCAGAATATCATCGCGAGCAACTCGGCTCAGAACGCTCAACTCTTCACAACCACAACCAAAGACAAGGCATCATCACCCAGAGCGCTCAAAACGGTTCTTAAAAGACGAAAACGTACATTATAGAAATAATGATGATGAGAGGTTCAGCACTCGCCGTCCTGTCTTTTGCGCCCCGCTGCTCCCTCCTCCTCCTGCTGCTGCTGCTGCTGCGAACAACCTCCGCCCTCCCGCAGCTCCTGCTCCCCCCGGCCCCGCTCACGGGCTGCCTCAGCGCAGTCATGGACCTCAACGACGACATAGCGCTGGGCAACCCTTCCGCCGCCGCCAGCTCGATCGCCACGGACCCGCCCGAGGCCTGCCGCGCTGCCGGCTTCGACGGGGTGCTCTACCTGCCCTACCGGCCCGAGGACGCGGCGGACTTTCTGGGCGAGATAGCGCAGGCCATCGCGGGGTAGATTTGGGCGCCAGCGAAGGCATGTCGGAAGCTCAAAGCAACACCTTGGAACACGAGAACCTGATATGGCTCGGGCTGCGAAACCATACATATACTCCGACTTGGCATCCGTTGTTACTATTCCACCAGTTGTTACATACACATAATATAGGCCGTCGGTCTATTGCACCCTGTCCCACCCGGAGTGGCCGGATCGACCCACCGTCTGAGCCGGGCAAACTGATAATAAAACACAAACACTGACAGGAAAAGGAGACAACAAAACCGCTCAAGAAACAGGCTCTTTTTGTCATTGCTGATTCCTCTCTTCGGGCCCCTCTCTTCCTAAAACAAGAACTTGCCCAACGCACACACGCACAGGCTTTGATATCAACATGCGGGCAAAAGAACAGCATGGTCATCCGACCCCCAAGTCCCTTGCCTTCCCTGAAAACCTTTCGTCATCTCGCTGCAAGATCCTCAAACGCCGCGTCAAGACCCCACACCCTTCCCTACCCATCGCTGAAGGGTAAATTTCTGTACAAAGAAGCAAAAAGAAGCAGAAGATTGGTTGTTCGCGGCCAAGAACCCCTTTTGTCGTGATGAATAGTACAGTAAGAATCATGAAGAGCAAAACGCCGGTCTTTGCGAACCCGCCTCTGCTTCCTCCCTTCTTGGTGATCTATGTACTTGGCAACGCTCGCAAGCTATGCTGTCGGTATGCAGATATGCGAGCAATCGTGTGTGCAGGCGGTTCATATGCGCAATGTAGAATGGCGCTAGATGCCGAGACCACGTGCGATTTTGCGTGTCTGAAGATGCAAATACCAGCGCTGGACTCATGGCTACGAGTCTGCCAGCCTGGCAAAGTGCTTGGACCATATCCAGCCCACTTGTTCTCTCGGATCGTCCTGGTTTTTGGCGAGCCATAATTCACCCTTTTCGGCAATCACATCAAAGATCTATCCATGGTCAGTCAGCACGCATCAATCACGTCAAGGCTGCATAAGTCTTACCTCGCCTGCCTGATATGTGAGGTAAGGGTACCCGGCTTCGTTCTTCGTCGTCTCAATATTGAACTCAAACAGTGACGCAGCAAGCCATAGCACATTGTAACTGCTGCTTTCAGGGAAGCGTTCTCTTGAGGACGCCCGAGACGACCTCTGGCTCTCTTCGGCACTGTCTGGCAGTGGTAGTGCCGAGTGGAACAACCCCGAGTAACGCTTGGGTTCTGTGGCAGGGTAACCAGAATTATAAGTCGAGTTTGAGTCCCGCCTGTTATGCATGCTTGAGTCGGAACTTTCCCTGGGCAAGCCACCAGAGTCATAGCTCCTCCCTGTACTGGGTCTTGCCAGAGGATAACCGCCCGCAGCGCGCAAGCTTGGTGATGAATCCTCGGTCCGGGGCGACGGTGGTACAGATGGTCGCTGCCCGCTGCCACTGCCGCTGCCGCTGGCGGTGGCATTAGCATTGGTGTAGTAATCGCGATAGTAGTATTGGTGAGGGCTCGGGACTGTGCTCGTAGGGGAGAGTGTGAACTGCCCGCTACTGCGCTTGAACTCTGGCGTGGGCAAGGCCGGGACCTGTTCACTATTCATCGAGCGACCGCGATTCCGTGGAGTGAGCTCTGCGGGGCGGGGTCTGTTCCTTGGCGTTCCGTCCTCGGTGCTGGCCCTCGTCGTAATGGTCGACTGAGATGCTCTCCCCTTGTACTCGGGATGAAGAATGCCAATGGTGTCGAGCTGTTCTTGCGCAAACTTGAAGTCATGTTGAAATGTCGAGACGACATCGGGCATCTCTGGCAGCGACGTAGTGTCTGCAAGGACAACTTTGACTTTGTCCTTCCAGATCGAATACCACTTTGCCTGTATGTTGACGAGGTTCTCCAGACAGATCTTTCCAACCTTCTCAGTAAGGGCGGACAACTGGGGCAGCTCTTTGATCAGCGTATCGTTCAGCGCATCGTACTGCTCGACAAGTTCTTTCAACTTCGGATCCAGCGTTTTGCCACCCTTTTTGATCTGTTCAGCTCGTTCAAAGTCCAGCCGGCGTTTTTCCCTCTTCTTCATGGCCAAGGATGGGTTCCCGTACGCCTTGATGACGAGTTCGAAGGGCTCAATGACTTGCTTCCGAACTTGGGCAAGATGTTGATCCAGCGCAACCTTCTCTATGTCTCTCATGGATACATTGAACTGTACCCATTTGCTTTCAATCTCGGGGTAGCTGCCTGGCTGAAGTCTCATGACAAGCTCCATCGACGAAAGGTATTGGAGAAATTCGTGGACATAACTCGTGACTTGGCGGGTGTAGAATTCTACGTCCCGAAGGACAACTTGGAGCCGGAGATAGTCGTCACCAAACTTCTCGTGCAGTTTCGCGTACTCGGGGTCCTCGGGGATACGCGTGCTTGTCGCCTGGAGGCGGTCAACGCGTTTGCCGAATGCGCGGGCGAAACCAGCTTTGACGTCTGATTCTTTACGCTTTCGCCCAACGATCTGGCCCACGAGCTCAAAGTTCTTCTTCGTCTTGTTGATCTCGATGATGGCAATTTCCAGCGTATCCTTGGCAGCAACCAGAGCAGGTCGGTCTGGGTGGTCTGGCGGTGTATGCTGCAAAATGGTGAGAATCAAATTCGGGTACTTGGTGAGTCGCTGCATAGGTTTGATGAGGAGCGAGTCCAAATCCCATGCCGCAGTCAAATCCTTGGCAACCTCGTGGCATTCATTCAACCACACTTGGACAGTGGGGTCTTGCTGAATCTGAATCAGTCTTTTGGCGGCGAGATCGCTGTTTCGGAGAAAACCCTCGTGTGCAATCTTCATTTTCTCGGCATTCAACTGGAACAGCGGACCCAGCGTCGTCGTGCGATCCTTGGCGTCGTCTGACTCCGTCTGACTCTGTGCACCAGAATTCGATCCAGTCGAATTCGACTTGATAGAGGCCTCCTTTGGTGCAGAAGATCGTCGACCTTGAGGAATGTAAACAGCAGCAACAGCATCCTTGAGTTGCACAAGGAAAGCCGTGTGAAAGGCCACAATCTCATCCACATTCCGAAAGATAATTTTGCTCGTTTTTCCGTCCAGTTTCGGGCACGCCTCTGCCGTCCCCTTGTAGATTTCCTCGACGATGTTCATGTCGCGGACGAATACCATCTCCGTGTCTACAAGTTCCTTGATGACATTTCGCCGCTGCTGAAGGCGCCGTTGCTCTTTCGTGATCGGTACGCTGTGTTCTTTGTCTGTCTCACCGGTCAAGGAAACTTTGGGGTCCGTCTGATCGTTGAGCGTCTGGCCCCCGAGTGATGGGTCCCGCGTTGAGAGGGATATGTGGTCAATCGAGTGTGCGTTTGATGTAGGTCGTGTCAGATCTTCGCTTGGTCTTCTGGATGACCCTACCAAAGTGCTACCTGGCCGTGTCTCTGGTTGGTAGTTGCTCGACGGCGGGCGGCGGGAGTCTTTGACGGATCCTGTATGAGAGAAGGGCACTGGAGGAGGGCTATACTCGGGCAGAGGGACGGAAGAGAAATCTCTACTTAGTCTGTCAGACAAGTATGGGATCGAGAAACCTCCACCAGTGTCCAGTTCTGGCAGCTGCGGTTCTTTGGACCTTGGAGATGAATGCCCGTCTGCCATTTCGAGTAGCGACGGCTCTGAACCGTACAATTCGCTGTGCCTGGCAGATGAGGCGCCGCTCGGCGAAGACCGATACCGGGCGTCCGACGCGAAGGGCGGGTTGGGCAGTGGAAGGGCGTCGCTGTGTCGAGCGGAATCCCTCGGCGAACAGTCGGCCGTGTCATTGCTCTCGACGGAAAAATCGGTCCATGCAGACTGATGACTGTAACGACTGGCGACGGGCAGCGGCGGCGGTATCGTTAGGCTATGCGAGGTATCCAGCGTTGGCAAACTATCTTGAGTGGTTTGGTACGTGTCGTCAGGAGCATCGGAATCGCATGTCGAGACCCTGCTGGATACTAGCCCCTCTTTGATTCGGTAACTCAGTGGCGTGTCATGTCGATGTTCACCCTGCCGAGACGGCGATTGCGCTTTGTCACTCTCGCCCTGCGATTGCTCTTGACGAACAAAGGTGCGGAATGCCCTTGCTTCGTGCTGGTCTAGACTCATATAATAGGAATCGTCATGAGGCTCATCGGCGATCGAAGAACGCTCAGGCTTCGTGAATTGATCGGATTCTCGGTGAAGAATCTTGACGGTAGTTTCCAGTGACGGGCTGGAATACGGCAAAGGCTCGTACTCGTCCTTGTAAGCCTCCGAGTTCGATGCAGTGTCAGGCTGTGGCTCGGCCATTTGTGGGGCCTCTTCGGGCATTTGTTGAGGTACATCAGTTGCGGCGATCTTGATAGAGACATGTCCATCATCAACGGCTTCCCGAGGGAATGGGTCGTGGTATGTAACATGTTCATCTGTCGATGGGGCCTCACAGGGCGGCGTGCGAGCACCGAGGCGTTCGTCGTCCTCCGGGACATCAGCCTCGGACACAGTGAAGCTGCCAGGCATGTCTGGCAAAGCCAGACCCAGGCCGCTTGAGGCAGCCCCGTGATCCGGCTGAACAGGCGGGAAAACCTGCGGCTCATCGTCAAACTCTGTAACATCGGTAGCCATCGAAATAGCTGACGGCGGCGCTTCTTCGAACTCGATCGCGGGACTACCAGCAGGAAAACTGCCCGGAATACCAAGGGTCGGGGAGTCTTTGACGACATCGGGCTGCGGCGACAGAGTGGTTGGGCTGGGCTCACCACACTCTGTACCTGTAGGGACTTTCAGAGGCGAGAGCAATCGCGAGTCGAGATCAGAAGCTGCAGCATGGTCATGTGCTGTGCGTTCGTCTTGATTGGCTGCTGCTTGCGATGCTGTCAGCGCGGCTTTCGTCCGGGCTGCGACTTCCAATTCTTTCTTTCGCCTCTCGGCAGCTTGGAGCCTCGCCTCGCGTGCCTGGCTGTCGCGAATGGACTTTGTGTACGCCAACCTGATATGTTCTCTCCGCTGCTCGAAGTCCACAGGACCGACAGATATCTTGCGCCTCCGTGTAGGCGCTTCGGTGGACTTTTGTGCGTTACGTGTCGCATGGTAGTGCGGCGACCGAGCCCGCTCTAACGCCTTCATCCGTGAACTCGTCGTGGTGGCGGTTGCAACAGACTGCCGAGGGCGAGAACTGCGTAATGGTGGCGATAGCTTGGGAACGGGTTCTCCGCCGTAAGGTGTCAATCTACCGTTGTTGCTCGGTGTCGTGAGCCCTTGAGGGGGCGCCCGTCGTGTCGACTGTGTCGGTGTTTTGGATCGATAGCCTTGGGCGCTTGCCGCCCTGGAGGGTCTGCCGTGGGGGGTGATGCGATGCAGGTTGGGTGGGGAGTTGGCTCTGGAGTTTCCGCCGGAGGGCGAGCTTGTTGAGAGACTGGGAGTCGGGCTGGCAAGTTTTCGGACGGTAATGGGCAGTCGTGAGGAAGGCGAGACGGCGCGACTACGTTCGGTGGCTCCGACAGCAGGCGGCGGCGGCTTTCGCGGAATGATGGACGGCGTGTCGCTCTGGGCCCGCACGTGGCTTTTGGAGTGACGTGTTTGTTGAGGCTGTAGGCCATTCGTGTCGTCATTCGCGATACGGTACCAATCGGTCGGAGATGATGGTTCAATCAGATCAGGGTCGGAAAGAGTGCGTTGGTGTGCGGATCTAATGCTCGACACATTCGATTCCGACGTCCTTCGCGGCCGAGAACCCGATCCCTCGATGCCATGACCAAGAGTGTGGTTATCGCGCTGATCGGGTAGGATTTCGCCGAAGAGGAGGGTTTGCGACTGAGGAATCATGGGTGACGCATTCGGTGAGGCGGTTGTCGGTTGGAATGAGTGTTTCTGCGACACGGTTGAAGTGGATTGCGAAGGCTGTGCGTTTAATGCCACGGGCGTTCGAGGTTTTCCTATCCGACTGGCAAACGATTGCGAGTTGTTAGAAGTCTGGTCTTCGGCGACAAACTTTGTCCTCTGGGTGCTCCGCGTTGCCTTGGCGGAGTCTGGTGTCAGGTTACGGTCGACGGACGTCCTGAGGGTGGAATATGGTGACTGACGCTGACCCACGGGGGCAGTGGGTAGCGGCTTGTCACTGCTTGTCGCAGGCTTGTTTGGTCGTGACGGGATACCAGTCCGTACGGGAAGCTGGGGTATCGCGGTCGGAGGGCCTTGGTCAAACTTCTTAGTCAGGTCCTTGACGCTCGGCTGGCGTGCTGCATTGTTCAGCCTCTTGGGGCCCGTCGTGCTCGAAGGGTCAATTGGGGCAGAAACGGATCTTGTCGCTGTACGGAGGCCGTTGAGGGCTGTTGGCATGGGAGGGTGTTTGGCTGTGGTCCCGTTGCCATTCGACCGCAAGGAGGCGGGATCCCTCGGTCGAGGCACGGATGTGGCCATGGGGGCGCGTTCGGACGAAGAGGAAGGCTGTCGGCTGTGCTGGTGGTGGTAGTGGGTCGAGGAGGCGCTACGATAGTCACGATAGAAGTCGTCTGGTGTTACGACCGCGACGACATGACTTCCGATGCCACCGTCGATACCGTCGCCGGTCGGGCTGTCAAATGCCACGGAAGCTGCGAAGGGGTCAAGGCTGTCAATGTCGAAAGTGGTCTGTGTGGCTACGGGGCGACTGCCAGGAGTGTACGGGGTGTCGATCGGGGAGAGTTCAGGGGGCTCGTCGTAAACAGGGTAGGTGTACTCGGTGTGGGCTTGTGTATGCTGCTGGTGCTGGTGTTGGCGGTGAAGACTGTCCTGGTGTCGTGCGTCGTCGTCGTCGTCGTCGTCGTGTTTGTCGTAGGAGTGGTGGCCGTCGACGGCATGGGTTGGGTGATGATGTGCGTGATGGGCATGGGCGCGACCACGGTCAGAGGCCGTGCGGAGAGTGTCTGTACCCAGAGGGTCCTCCTCTTCTCGAAAGCCGTCCTCCATTGTGGCCTGAACATCAGTCAGGCTTGTCGGAGTCGGTCTTCACTCGCCAGTGTTTGGCGCATCTCCTGCAGGTGGTGGGTTGTTTGGGCTCGAAAGCATCGATGAGCTGGCCAGCAATATGAATGGGTAGCGAGGTTTGGCGAAAGGACGACTGGCAGGTCAGAATGGCCCCGGGCAGCTCGAGGCGGGACAGGCAAGCGTTGGTGTTGGCAGCCCCCTGGTCGGCAGAGAGCCTATCAACGACGTAGTTGAGGGCAAGGATGCGCGCCCGCGGGGCCACGTCGAAAGGCACCCTGCCAGGGGGGGTGGTGTCTGGTCGGTAGGAATAGTACAAGCGCACACGGGCAACTTGACTCGACACACAAGAAGAAGTGTGGTCTGGCAGTTTGAACAGGGAGCCCGACTTTGTGCTGAGTGAGGGAGGGAGGCAGCAGAACAGAGCTGATCTGTGATCTGAAATCGCGATGCAACAGCTAAGGGGCACGAATCGGGGTTGGATGGGGGTTGCAGTGCAACGATGCTGCCCAGGGTTTGTGAAGAAGAACCGGTTTAAAAGAAA